GGTCTGAGTAGAGTTCAGTGCAGCGCTTTGTTTCAGTACCGGAGACTCGAGCGACTTTACCGGAGGATCCAGTATCATCAGACAAACTCCAGCCATCCAGTTTAAACGACCTCCAGCTCAGTCCCACTCCCTGTGTGTTACAGTCTGAAGTGTTTCCTGTGCAAAATGAGCTCCCTATAAGGAAACCATGAGCGCTGGCTGCAGACAGATGTTTGTCCAGATGTTCCTGTGGAGAAAACACAGCAAACTTTGTAGGTCAAAGGTCACACTGTTTTCATCCAATCAAAAGTCAATAAACCACACAGGCTGACTGTAAACATCAGGTTTTAATGTTTGAGGCAGATGTGTGTGGACATGTCATACGTAGATAATAACAGCGTGTTCGCTCTGAGTCGCTGACATTCTTCCGTCATGTGACTTTGATTATACATCCTCTAATTCCTTCCTTTCATTCAGTCATTCGTCCCAGATCCTCGCTCTGCGTGGTTGCTGCTTGAACATCACAAACTATAAAATGTATTGGTTAGCACTGGATGGCTCGGGTTTCCCCCCCTGAGAGAAGTCTGAGCAGCTGAAACACGTTGGGCTGTCAGGGAATCAAGCAACTTTCTGACATCTCTTAATGACTGAGACGTTCCAGGAAGAAAGTTTTCCAAAGTTTTGTCATTAACTCTAAACAAAACCAGTGAAAAGCTTGCATTATTTCAGGTGAAATCAGACTTTTCATTTGTGGGAAGTTTGTGGTCAGAAAGTTTCCTCTTATCTCACTCAGGAATCCGAGGAATTCACCTCCTGTTAACCTTTTCCTCCCCCTCTATAAACCAGGAGGAGAAGAAGTGCTTTGTGTGCGACTCGTCAGAGCCCTACAACGAGCTGGCCAATCGCACCGACAGCCATCGCATCGAGAACGTCGTCACTACGTTTGCCCCGAACAGACTGAAGACCTGGTGGCAGACTGAGAATGGTGAGGAAGAACATTCAGAGAGGTCAAAGGTCAGACGTGTCGTTACAGGTTTAAAGACTGAGAGCTTCAGACATGTTTTCACTGTCAGAAGAAAGGCTGTGTTTTATCACCCTCTATCCTCCATGATTACAGGTTCTCAGGCTGTGGGGCGGGTCCCTGCTGGAGGCCATGTAGTTATTCCCAGGGGTGGGGGATGTTCAGCTTTAAAAGCCCCGCAGTGAGGAGGCAAACACAGTCGACCTGCCGTTTGTCCAGGTTCATCAAACAGATAGTTTTACTGCAGAACAAACCTCTTCTTCATTGTGCTCTTCACCACAAACCCAGTGTGGTGAAGTTACGCTAACCAGGCAGCTTCATGTCTTTGTTAATTTTCCATTACTCGCTGTATCTGTATGTCTGCACTGATTGGCTGATGGTAGGTGCTGTGAGCTTGTTGCCTCGGCCGAGCTCTGCTGCCCAGATGAACTCGCTGTTCCCGTGATGAGCGAGCGCGTCTAAACGGCAGCTTCAGAGCTGCGCCGCGGTGTTTTGTGCAGAACCAGGTACTCGCTGCAGTGTTTGAGACACTTTATGGTGTCCGTCATCCTCTGACAGTGGGTGTGTTAACACAGATGATCTGCTGTTACCTTTGGTCGTCACTCTTTGGAGTCCTGTTGTCCAATATAAAGCACCTTGAGGCGACTGTTGTTGTGATTTGGCGCTATATAAATAAAACTGAATTGAATTGTTGGTTCTTGGACACAGATTTAGTTCTTTTCTCAGCTCCGATCATGTTAATGTGCAGCGACTGCAGCGTGTTGTTGATTTCTGGGCTCTTTAACCGATGTGGCGCACAGAGTCTGATCTACAGAGTGTTGGTGACTGATGATCTGCTGTCTGTAGGTGTGGAGAACGTCACCATCCAGCTCAACCTAGAGGCTGAGTTTCACTTCACGCATCTCATCATGACCTTCAAGGTGAGTTCTACACATGCAGCAGGGGATTCTGGGTAGTTGACAGGTG